TCGAGTGTAGGAACATTAACACCAGGAGGGATGTGAACAAGGGGCCAAAGACACAAAATGGGTCAGAAAGCGATAAACATCGCGAAACAGAATGAGAAGCTTGACTTAACGAAGGCAAGCCCTGAGCTACACATCACACACACACACACACACACACAGTCATACACACAAGTATGGCTTAAGTTTGAAAGATATAGTTTTGTGTCTGTGGCTAGTGTTGCTCTACTTAGGCTAGATGAATGGAGAGTGGTAGATACTAGGTCAGTATGTGTGTGTGTGCTGTTTAAGCCTTTGGGAGCATGTATGCTTGTGTGTGTGTGTATTTGCATATGCATTTGTGACAGAATGTGCACGCACACGTGTGTGTTTTATGGGGAGGATTGCATTTGGCTGCATGCATGCAAGGTGTGTGTGTCTGTGTGTGTGTGTTGGCCAAAGATAGAGGGGTTGCCCCTCCTGACCGGATGGTTAAGCTTGCAGTGCGGTGTGAGTCACAGCTTCCACGCTGGTCAGAAAGCTGACTCTGCCCGTAGCCTAAGATCAGCCAAATGGCTGATGACACACTAGAAGCTTCTTGTCTTCTTTTGTTTTTACAAATATGTATTTCTATACTATAAATATGGTGGTTTGGTTTAAAAACTGAGCTGGGCCATATGACTTTTCTTATTTATGCCTTGTGTCATCCAGAATACATAGGTTACTCTGAGGACCATATATAATCGGACCAAGATCAATTAAGTATGTATGCAATCAGTCTTACATGTCAGAGGTCAAACAGATAATTGTGTAAAAGAGAGTCTCTGTCTGTACATATCTGTTGTTGAGCCTTTAGTCACCTTGGCACTTTTGATTTCTTCTTCTTCTCCCTCTTCTTCTTCATATTATTAGTCTGCATTAAGCCCTATTTACACAGGATTACTATTGACTGGGGCGTACCAGTGGTTTTGAAGAAAGCATTGGAAATGAGCCCTCTCTATAGCTTGTTAGTAGTGTTTGGTGACATGCTGATGTAAACTGCCACATTGAGACAAAATGAATTGAATGAACTGTCAGAGAGTTTGAATCGGTGATGAAGTAGCTTTATTTGAATTCAATAGACTAGTGCAGTGCCCGTAGGAAGTATGTATTGCTATAGAAAAGTGTGAGGTTAAGTAGCTTTTTCATGGATGGCCAAATGAGGTTGTGTTTGAAGGTGGGACGTCAGGGACATTTAGGCTTGAAAGGTGCATTTAGTGATGACGAGAGAGAAGAGATTCGCGGAATCCAGCGCCAATTCTTTCCGCCAACCCTCCTCTGCTGTTAGAAGAAGACTCAGATGCTGGCGAGGGGTCGCTCCGTCCCTGATTTCGCCTCCTCTGGAGTGGTAGTATCAGCGACGCATTTATTTTTTGAACCGCCTGAACAGTGTTGAATGATAAGCCGACGGGCGGATGCGGGCGAGGCGGTCGTCAGGACAGTCTGATAGACTTGCACAGGTCTGCTCACTCCACACTTAGATAAAGAGAAATTTGTCCTACCAAGAGGCACGTTGTACAGGACCCAAACAAAGCGAGTAACGTGAGTAAACTGGTAAACTGTCTTTGGCAAACTTATTACGAGGAAAAAATACCCACAAGCTGTACGTGAGAAGCGTCTGTTCCTCCTGTTCTGCCTTCCTTGTCTGTCCTCGCTGTCTTGTCCCTCAATGTTGCCTCCGATTGTTCTGTCCTCTCCGCCTTGTCTACCGACTCTTCCGTTTACATTTTCTGCCCAAAAAACAGCGTCTTGTCACCGCGAACAAACTCGCGGAGGTGTTTGAAAACCATTCTCCGTTCTTTACGAGTGAGGGAGTCATTTTACTGCTGGGTGATTCTTATGTAATAATCTGTGTTTATTTAGAGGTGAAAAAACGTACCTTCGTCACTTTCCAGGATGTTTTTGGTGCGGTCATGATCTCAAATCACACAACATTTATAAACAGCATCCATATGTTATTAAAAGGTGTGCCGCAGCGGTTTTAGGATTGGACCAGGGGGGGGGAGGACAAACTGGGAAAACACCTTCAACAACGGGCTCTGCGACGTGATTGTGCTCTGGTGCGCAGCGTGGGCTGGAATTTGGTGGGCTATCGTTTGGCAGATATGGCTACGGAAATTCGGAAACATATTTTATGAAATAATTCATGATGTATGTTTGTAGTCCAAACAAAAGCCCGACGTTGCACACCTGTGTAAAACCCACCAACAAGCAGCCATGTTGAAAATCTTTCTCAGCCGTTTCAAGTGTTCTGATCCTGATCTTTCTAGAGATATTTGAGCCACACACACAGCACAAGCCCACACACCACGATCACACACAGCACGCGAACCACCCCACACACGCACAACAGAAGACACACACACAACACGAGACACAACACACCCCACACACACACAACACCACACACAACAACACACACACAGAAGACAAGATTTCTTGCTTTATAGATAGATTAGCTAAAAACAAATGTTCGCATGTGCTTACTTTATCTGTAATTTTTTCTCCTAAATTACAGCCAATTAAATCTTAATCCACCAGTCTAAATACTGGCTACTGTATTTTAGACTGTAATCTGCGTAGAAAAATGGAACTATACATATAATTAGTTTTGATATTGGCATTATATATCAACCATCTGTTGCCCTGCTCCCTAAATTTGAAATGATTTGAGGGTTTGTATAGGATGGTATGCTATTGTATGGTTTGATATTTTGCGGTATGGAATTATCTAATATGGTATTCAAGTATTCAAATTACAAACACTAATCACTAACTTCCAGTGTACTAAAACATCAACATTTCAGACAGAGGTTTCCTGATAAGACTATTACTGATGTGAATTGAACTGTGTAATTACAGCTATTAATTATTATTTGCATGTAAATGCTCTTGCTTCTAGAACTGATGTGTAAAACAGAGAAAGTAGTAGAAGTAGTTGAATTAGTGTGAAAGTTGTGAATTCATTATATAGTTTGATCCGGGCCACCAGTCAGTTTCATTTTCCTGTTTAAAAGTATTTCAGTCTGTAGAGGTTGAAGGCCAAATCGGTTATTAGCTACACGATGTCCCCACATTATACTAATTTTGGCCGATCCCTTCTTGCTTCCACTTCAAGTTTGAGATATTCTAGCACGTATTGTGCATGAGGAAAAATAAGAGAACTATTGGAGCTAGTTGGTTTTCCCAAAGATAGGTGCAAATTCAAAGATTAGAATAGCCAGTTCTTTCATGCACAGACAGGACCATGTAAATTGAATTGACCCCTGTGGGCCACTGTGATTCGATGCAATAAAGAGTGACTGCTGTGAGAGCAGAGTTCATTATCCATCATCATCACTAGATCAAACATGTCTTTCCAGAAGAGCTGGGACCACAGCCATCCCCGTTCAAGTAGTGGAAAAGTGCCCTCCTAATGGCTGACCTGGGAACAGGGCCGCGTGGAGATGAAACTGTCAGTCTTAGTTTTAATTATAGTGGTTGGTTATAACATCCAGAGGCGAGCTCTCTCATCCTTCACGCTGCTGTAGAGCCGAGGCTTTCTAACCCTGTGTATGGGATGTCATTTCAGCACTGCCGGTTTGTTGTTGTTAACACACGAGACTGAAAATAAAACTTGATTGATCCCTGTGGAAGCAGGTGTGTGATTGGGGAATGTAGCGAGCTAGCAGGAGATAGGCAGGTAGCACACACAGACACACGCTAGAGGAACAGGAAGGATAGAGGAGAAAGAAAGGGTTACTGCGACAGCTTTTTTTTTTCCAAATTTAATTTAATTTTTAAAAGTCTCCTGCAGAATTTGGGAGTGATTTGTGGTGTATCAATCTAGCCAAATCCTTTTGAAGCCAGACTTTTGAATCTGTTTTCTGGAACATATTGGCAAAACTTTACACATCTCCTTTTCCACGACATTGAGATGTTCAATAAATGACACACTAAGCTGAATTAGACAGATCCTGACTCATCTGTATCTTGTTATCAATAGATCACATATCACAGTTCGGTACCTTGTTTTGGGGTCGTGGTTCGCTATTTTCTCTAACATTTTTGTCTTTTTATTTTGAAAGATTAACATTCAGCATGGGGTCATTGGCCATCATTCTTACTCTAACAGCTAATGCACTCAAATACTGACATACTCTCAATACTACATGGGCTTGGGCTAGCTTGAGTTAGCCTGGCTGATGGGGCTCAGCTGACTAGCATGCTACAGCTGATAGACAACGACAGGTGCAGTCCCAAAGCTTTCTGGGTAAATCTTGAGCTCTTGAATTTCTATTCCACACGTGTGAGTAGTAGACATAAACAGACTATTTAAAAAAAAAGAATTGGGGGGGGGGGGATATTTCCCCTTTATTAGACAGGAAAGGGGGAGAAAGAGCCACAGGTCGGATTTGAGCCCAAGGACTCAGCCTCTGTACATGCCTACCGGGTGAGCTATTCTATAGACTATTTTAAGAGTAATTGTTTGGGTCACAGAGGAAGTTAAGTAC